GAGAAATACCAAGGGCTCAGAGAAGAGCTCGAGAAGATGTGGAGGGTGAAGGTGACGGTGGTCCCAGTGGTAATCGGAGCACTAGGTGCAGTGACTCCCAAGCTAGGCAAGTGGCTCCAGCAGAACAACAGCAGAGATCTCTGTCCAGAAGAGCGCAGTCCCAGGAACAGCTAAGATACTGCGCAGGACCCTCAAGCTCCCAGGCCTCTGGTAGAGGACCCAAGCTTGAAGGATTGACCGCCCACAGGGGCGAGTGGGGATTTTTTTTTTATGACATCTTTCATCTATGGCATGAAAAATTAAATTCTCTCCAAACCAGGAGCAAATTCCACTGAGGATTGTTCACATATCTTCACCAAACAGTTATACAGTCATAACCCTCATAGCCAAAATACTTTTGATTAAAAGTGTAGATTAAAAAGGCTGACTTTTTACATCTTTACATGGCACTCGTGCAGTCACCTTTTGTGCTATACATTCTCTTTAGCATGCACTGCACTGTGCCTAACATGCATGCAAAACAGCAAAATCACCAACAGAAAAAAAAAAAGGAAAAGAAAAAAAAAAAAAAAAAAAATCCCTCTCGCTTTAGAAATAAAATTATTTTCAATAGCCACAACAGACAACTTATTTACTAAACAGAACCTTTGTCTTCATGCACAAAGGAGAAGTAACACAAAATACAGTGTCTCTGAAAATACTGTTTACAGTTTGTGCAAACACTTTTCCCTCACAATAACGCTCCTTATACTGACTTTCTTCGTAAATGAGGGAACTCCCGGAAACTATGGCCAGGTGAGATCCTGCTTCCTGGCGAAGTTAGTCCAGTGTTGTCCCTGGAACTTGGTGAACAGCCCTGAATCCTGTAGGAAACTGAGTTGTAATAAACAGAATTAACGTGGCAGCCACGATGTTCACTGTGGGACATAAGAGGGCTATCGCAAATCTCTAAACGGTAGCACATGCAGGAACAGAGGGAACTGAGGCTCGACTCCTGTCTGCGTCTGCCTGCCTTTATCTGGAAATGCAACCTGTGCCTGCAGGGGCTTTTTCGTCTTTCCTGATCCACCGGGGAAGAGATGAGGTTGGTGCGACTGGTTCCTTCCTCCATCGGGAGGAAGAGTGTGCTATGGCTGTGCACCATGTCACTCCTGTTCCTCTCACTGTGGCTATCTCTGCTTTGTTCCCCTAAAACACCAAGGCCCAGGGTCCCATCCAAAAGGCCTCTGTCTCTCTTCATTGAAGCCCTTTCTTGTGCATCCCGTCGCTCATCCTCAGTGTTCATGGTGAGAAAACGGAGCACCACTAAATTAAGAAATGCCCCGATAACAGTTAATCCCACCAGAATGTACATAAAGCTGAAAGCGACATAGGGCGTTTTCTCCTGGAGGTCCTCTTTTTTCTGCAAAGCCACAAAGTCCCCAAAGCCAATTGTGGTGAGTGTGATGAAGCAGTAGTAGTAAGAATGGAAGAAGGTCCATCCCTCAAAGTGGGAAAAGGCTGCGGCGCCCACACACAGTGTTCCGATGCAGGACAAAAAGCCCACCAGGACCATGTTCTCCATGGACACCTCAGTGCGTCGAAAGCCCAGGCATTGTTTCAGCTTATGTAAGAGATAGCGGACAAATGTGTTCATCCTCTCTCCCAGGCTCTGGAACATAACCAAAGTGAGAGGAATGCCGAGTACAGCATAGAACATGCAGAAGATCTTTCCAGCATCTGTTCCAGGGGCTGCATGTCCATAACCTTAATGCAAAGAGATGGAAAATGTAATGACACTGTGACGCATCATGAAGCAACGCTTAGTTGGTAAAACATGGAGCAACTGTCTATTTTTAATCAACACGTCATTAAAACCAAGCCTCAAATATTGCATTCTTGCAGAAAAAATAATGTTGTGCTGTGAATTACGAAGCAAGCAAAGTGACACATCACTCGTCATTTCCAAAAACATAAAATAAAAAAGCAGAAGAAGCCTTACATTGACTTACCAATGGTAGTGATTACTGTTATGGCAAAGTAAAAAGAGCCAGCAAATTTCCACTGTCTCCCGGCGCGATGGGGCTCAGCTTGCAGCACTACTCTCTCGATTTCGCGGTAGTCGTCCTCGGAGAAGCGGTACTTCTTCTTCATTTCGTTGCGCTTCTGCTCCAAGATGCGCCGGCGGGAGCTCTCCGACTCAGACTCCAGCGCGTCAAACACCGCGGCGCCCACCAGCAAGTAGGAGAACATGCAGAGGATGAGCGACAAGGTCCGGACGTTTTGCTTCTTCATTCTCGGCATCGGCACGAAAGTCGGAAGCACGGGCACGGTGTTACAGGTGGTACTGTTCTTCAGCTTAGACTCCACATTGGTCTTGCAGCCTGTTGCGTGAAATGTAATTTCACAAGGGGAGGGTGGGAAAATAACGCCTTTAACTCTTGACTGTGTTATGGTTCAGATGTCTTCTTTGTTTTTAAAACGCGCATATTTTCCTGTGCGCACCGAGAGCTATCGGCTCTCTGCGCCGTTATCTGTTTTAGTGGCCTCAGCTTGCCTTTTCGCATGCGCAAAACAATCACCAATAAAGAAGAAGAAGAAGAAGAAGAAGGAAAAATGTTTGTGTATATCTATATAACATAGATATATAAAGCATAGCACAAAATACAAAGTAGTATTTTTCGCGGATGTTCAGTTATATCACATAATGTGTGCAGCAATTTCTATGCCTATTTAATATGAAGAGGTTTGTTCAGCACCATGGACAGCAACCAGTGGGATTTCACATTTGACCTGGCACTGTGACTGCACATACTAAGTGGAGGCTCAAGAGGCTGTGAAGCAGGGAAAAGGTTCAGGTGCGTTTAATATGACTAAAAATCTTTGCAGACACCGAATCTGGGGAACAACATAACCATTAAAAAAAAAAAAAAAGCTCAAAATTCTAACATCTGGTCCTGAAGTAAGTGATCACCACGAAAGTTAATTAAAATCCATTCAACTGTACAAACATTAAAATGAAAGCCTAATTTAAGCCTTAAATAATAATAATAAAAAAAAAACATGTAAAGGTCCTCATGAGCTAAAGACATGGAAACAAATAAAATATCAGGTAAGACAGTGTTTAGAAATCTGGCGTATTGGATTTGTTCTATAAAATAGATCATTAATAAGATAGCGAGAAAAATGAAGTAATAAAGATATCAACAACAACAAAATTAAGGAATCAAGTTAACAGTAAAAAATTAAATAAGACTGAAGGAATAAAGTAAATATATATACATAGTTTATCCCAAATTACAATGTGGTCAAAAATACAAACATTCGGAAGTTAAAATTCTGAGAAATACAATCTTAATTCCTTTTTTAAAATCAGTTTCCTTAGAGTGTTACTTCTGTTCATGTGCAGTGGCTAAAGAGGAAAAAAAAGCACTGCTATTGTAGACGCTTCTAGAAATTTTACTGTAGGTGATGCTGGTTGCTATGGTTACTTGTACCAGTTGCACAGACTTGGACTATCAGTGAGGTTGACACTAATAAGTTAAGAGTAATGATCCAAGCCGGTTTCGTTAATAACGTTGTCACTGCATCACAACATAAATTATCATTATTTAGACCCTTTTTTTTAAGTTAAGCAAGAAGAATCCTCTGTATGTCAGTACAGGGCAGCAGCAGGTGGATTATTGTGTGTGCTTTTGTTCTTGTCAAACAGAGCAACCTGCTCTCCGTGGTCCTGTTTTTGTGGCAAAATCAGCGCACTTACATCCCTGTTTTGATTCAAACCAGCGCTCCATAAATCAATTACATCTCAGCTGATAAGAGAGGAACACAAAGCCCCAACAGCCACCCATCAATCCAGACAGCTTGTATTCACATCGTTTTCAAAGCCCAAGGACCTGGAACAAAGCGAGAAGGCCCATCAATCCCCACAGAGTTGAAGGATAAGTGTTTAGACTTAAACAGAAGCTTCATTAATCGAGTTATACCTGTTGCCTGTTTTCTCTAAGGTGTATTTTATTATAACCCCGCAGACCTACAAATTAATATGTCAGGAAAATATTAAGTAGACTATGGTGAGGTCATATTTATACACATTCAGCAGGATGCATTAGAGGCAGTGTTTTCCTTTGTTCCCTAAACAGTACTTGTGTTTTGCTTTTTTCAATCTAATATTTATGATACTACAGTATGACACATCACAATGAAAACTTGAAATCAAGTAGTACATGTTCAAGGGCTGGATTATACTGTGTTTGTGTCCATATTCATTACATTAATATTAACTTTCTGACAGCTGCCACATGACAGCTGGTAAGTTTATAAGGCTATATTATTTGTGGAGAAAAATGTGAACATAAACAGCTATGCTATGCAGAGCTGTGCACTTTCCACGCACAGCATTTGCTATTTTTTGTTTTTGTTTTTTTTTTATCTCACAAAGTCAGTTACACCCACAGTGCATGTGGTAATTGGTAAGTGTATGCAGATTTTGCAAAACCTTGTTAAAGCTGCACATGGCATGCAGTGAAAAGAGGACCTCATGCCTGAAGGCCCTTTTTTTCCCCCACTAAATAAAACCCATCTGTCAGCTCTACAACAACAAAAATGCAAATCTGTCAAAATCCTGGAGGAGAGATTGTAAAAATTAATCTCCTCTACAAAAAAAGAAAAAGAAGAAAAAAACTTTTAGGGTCTTTTTGTTTAACAGGCTGCAAGGACAGAAGAAAGAAAATTATCTAGGGAGAATACGTGTGATGCAAGAAGCAGCTAGACACAAAGACACGGACAGCTGTGGGTTTTTGAATCGAGATAATGAATTTCTTGTTTCTATAGCGTGGCGATTTAGGACGGCAAATAAGAAATTGTAGCAAAAAATCTAAATCAGATTGCTTGACAGCCCGGACGTGTCATACTCTAATTTCTTTATGTCTTATTAAATATTTAAATTATGACCCTTAAAAGAAAAAAAGATGCTGACATAACCTTCTTATATAAATTCTGTATGTGAGAGCTGTGTCACAATGAATTGATTGAGCAGAAGTCACATCAGTTAAATCAGTGTCAGCACAGTATAACATACTGTCTTTATCAGTAAAGAAAATACACTGCAAGAATCAACAGTGTGTTGATCTATATATATATATATATATATATATATATATAAGTTTTTATTGCAACAGCAGGGCCAAAACAGACACACATAGCCCAGGTATGGAAATAATCTGCAGAGTGATCTGAAATTAAATTCTTCAGCACTTGCTGAAAACTTAACTGAAAGAATTTTATCACAGGATAACAATCAAAATATGAGCTTTTATTCAGGGTACTCTGCACACATATTTACAAAATGTTACGGGAGCTGCTTTCTTCTTGGAGGTAAGCTGAATCTCCTAAAAATACTTGCACTCTACAAAGTGACACAAGACCAGCATTAAAAATATTTGACCTGTATCTCAAGAGAGGAACACAGCAGGTAAGAAGGCAACAGTAAGGATTATCCCCCTGGATATGTCTCTAATTTACAGTTATAACAACTGCTGGGGTGTAGCAGACACACAGGCCTTTGTGCTGTACACAAGGGAGACCTAGGGTTAAATGCATAACACAGACTATTTGATCATACCTGATTTCATCAGTTCTCTTACTTAATTAATTCCAAAGGGAAATTACACATGAAGTCACAGTCTATGCAGCTCTCCAAGAATAGTTTTGAAGAAATACTCTGAATGTTCATCCTTCAGTCTGTGACTCCTGTCTGATATGAGAATTGATCTTTTTTTGGCAGCTCTCTTTTTTTCTGTTCTTACTCTTCGCTTAAAATGAATAACTTTTCTTTCCTCTGTGTGCTTTATCAGAAGTTAAACCATTTTTGTGAATTCTGTACCGCAGGTGTAAATGCATACTATTGATTCCCATTTTCCCAGTTCCCTGAAATAAAAGCACCCAGATATGATGAGACTGAAAAAAAATATGACTCATGGTAATACCTCTGTAAGGCTTTCACTGTTAAACAGCTGAGGGAGATATGGATTCTCTTTTTCCACAAAGTCAGGCACCAAGAACTAAAGATGTTCAATAAAGGTTGAGCTAAATCTTCATTTCCTTTGTGAAAACCTAAAAGGCGTCAAACATTTGTATTACTCTTGATGGACACTTTATAAATTGTGCCCTTTGACACTTGAAGCACAGAGTTCTTAAATGGCCAGCGAAAGCATATTTTGCACGTAATTAGGATTTGGATTTATTCTGATAATATGCAGTCGATACATTTTAACACACAAAGTCTGCACATCATTTGATGACCACATTTAATGTCAGAATTATTATAACAGCAAGGTCATTATTAAAGTTAATGCACTCAAACTTAATCTTTCAGTGCTCCATTAACATGTGTAGAATACACTGCATAAATGAGTATGTAAATGCTAAATATAATTATATTCAGATGACATAAATAAATTAAATACTACATTTTAAAATGCTGAGACTGGGTTTTTATCAGAGATACAGGGTGTGTGCATAAAGGCACACATTTTTCAACATTTACATTATTTGTATGAGGAAAGAAAGGAAACAGAAACAGCTGTGTATTAATGATATCAACTTGTCCAAAAGACACATTATCTTCTCCTCATTGTAAGACTTATAATGCCTGGCTAACCGTAGTAAAGTCAACAACTGGCAATTAAAATAAATACATACACCATGATTGTGCCCATTTGAAACTTTAATTGCTGTAAACCATCCACACAAACGTCATAGAGCCACTAGGTCCTTATTAGTAGGTTTTCAGATGGGTTTTCAAAAGTGACTATGTGCATTTGTCCTATGCTTTAAGATGTAAGATCATTAAATAGCCGCTGGTAAACAAACTATGAGCCATGCAGGGATCAAGAGAAACACATAAATGTCAGTGTAGTCTGGCAGCCGGGCCATGAGCTGTGTGCCTGCTTATGTTGGACGTGTTGGATTCTGTTGAGCAAAAAGGGAGCAAATTAGCTAAAACAGTTTCTGTGCAAACTTTGCTCCACTCTACTTTCCACCAGGTTTCATGAATTTCAGCTTCATTTTGCATAATCTTGCTGAAAAACAGACATGTCAGGACTAATTATGTACCTCCAGCTGCTAAGCACCTGAATTACTACCTAAAGTTACCAAACAGGAGTATTGCAACACAATAAAGAAGAACTTGCAGATTGATCACAAATGGAAATATGACCATATATACTACTGGTAAAAGTGCTGTTGCCCAAGAAAATCTGTGAAAAGAAAGTCTTGCATGCATGTGAATAGGAATTTCTTTCACTTATGTATTAATCACGTTATTGTAATGCCTTGGTGCCACTGGATTTTAACATGTCTGACACTCATACTTAAGACAAATGGAAAGGGGTGTAGTAAGGATGTTGGGGAAAACAGGACAGGAACTCCAGAGGACCAGTCTTTTGTCTCTTCGAGGACTCTGGGAAGTAGCAAGGGAGTGTGAACCTTAAGGTGTGAAACAGCTGTGTACTGCCTTTTGTTCCTGGAG